GAGGAGGAGGAGGAGGAGGAGGAGGAGGAGGAGGAGGATGGGAGTGCCAGGGCTACGGGTTGGTGGGGCAGGCACCCTGGCTCCCCTCGCATTCCCTGGGGGGGGCGGCCGGCTGCCCCGGCCGGCTGCACGGCCGGGTTCGCCGCAGCCATCTCGGCCCCCAGCTTCGCCTCCGCGCCCGCCCACCCGGGCGAAGCGGGGGACTAAGGGGGCATGTGGGATTAAATGCATTCCCACCCTGGTCTAAGAGTATCTGGGCACAGGCGATTCACATGGAGCCTACAGGAACCCTGACCAGTGTATCAGCCGTCGCCGCGCCCTGTCCCCGGCGGTCTAGCCAACCGCTGCGGCCAGGCACCGTCGCGATCGGTGACCAGGTGCCTGCCGGTACGCCGGCTGGCCTGGGGCATTCCCCGGGCGCGCCTGTCCTTCGCATTCAAAGGGCGGCCTACGCGAGAGAGGCGTGCCGCTCTTTGGGCGAGGGAGGGGAAGTCCCCGGCCCAAGTCTCGCTACCCCCTCGCGGGCGCTGTGCGGGGCTGGCCGGCGCTCCCGGGAAATCCCGGGGGAATCTCCAAAGTTTGTAGCTAGGCTCACTCATGCCGAGGTCCCCCCCCCTCCTGCTTAGGGCCCCCGGGGGCCTCCTGGGAAGAGCCAGGCCCGCAAGGGCTGGGGCTCGGCCGGCTCCGAGCTCAGACCAGGTCGGCGGGGTGTCTGGGGGCGGTGAGAATCCCTGCGAGATTCTCGTGCCTGCGTGGGGCCCCGGGAGGGCCAGGGACTAGCTGTCAGGGCCCCCCTCTGCCGGGGTCAGGCGGATCCGCCCCCCCCCAGGTGGGTGTGTGAGGGAGGAGGAGGAGGAGGAGGAGGAGGAGGAGGAGGAGGAGGGGAGGAGGAGGAGGAGGAGGAGGAGGGAGGGAGGAGGAGGAGAGGAGGAGGAGGAGGAGGAGGAGGAGGAGGGGGGAGGAGGAGGAGGAGGAGGAGGAGGGAGAGGAGAGGAGGAGGAGAGGAGGAGGGGAGGAGGAGGAGGTAAGGAGGAGGAGGAGGAGGAGGAGGAGGAGAGGGAGGAGGAGGAAGGGACGAGGAAGATGAGGAGGAGGAGGAGGAGGCGGAGGAGCAGGAGGAGGAGGAGGAGGAGGAGGAGGAGGAGGAGGAGGAGGAGGAGGAGGAGGAGGAGGAGGAGGGAGGAGGGAGGAGGCGGAGGAGAGGAGGAGGAGGAGGAGGAGGAGGAGGAGGAGGAGCTGGAGGAGGCGTGGGAGGAGGGAGGGAGGAGGCGGCGGCGCAGGAGGAGGAGGAGGAGGAGGAGGAGGAGGAGGAGGAGGAGGAGGAGGAGGAATAATAATACTGAGAAGAGAAGGAGGAGGGGGAGGAGGAGGCGGTAGGGCCACTTGTGGTTTCAGAGGCCATCAAAGGACGACTTCAGCATGGAGAGCTGGTCTCGGGGAGTGGGTTCGGGAGCTCGAGGGGCGGGCGGCTCGAGAAAAGAGGTCGGGCCGCCGGAGGTCTGAGGCTCGCACAGGGGAATTTCGGTCAGGGGCCTCGGCTTAGCGGTCAGGGTCGGAGATCGACTGCTATACTGATTTCCCCCCAGAATGTGTTTGTTCGTCAGAGCTGCAGCAACAGATACGCAGACCTGTAGATCTGCAACACTCTGCGCGTGTCTCGTAGACTCGACGAAACACAGTCTTGCTGTACATCGATCCTGTAGCCCACCTCCCACTCGAGCACCCACGGTCTGGGACCTCGGCTTAGCGTGTCGCGCCACTGGCTCTGGCCCGCCGCGCTTCGGTGCGCCACGCTGGGCCACACCTCGCTCCCCGAGCGTCCACGTGCCGAGCTTCTCCGAGCCTCCCCGCCCGCGGAGCGGAGCGACTGGCGCTCCGCCAGCAGGGCACGGCGTGTCGCTGGGGCCGCCGCCGCGACACGCGGATTCGGAGTTCCCGACCGTACTTTAGTGAGTTTGATTGGTTTTAGGGTTTTAGCAAATTGTCGCAACCACGCAGAGGGCGTGCGTAGCGACGCCCCAAATGCTCGGTCTCCAGTACTTCTACGTGGCGGCGCCCCCGCAGGCACGCAGAGGGCACGCGTGGCGACGGGGGCGTCGCAACGCAGAGCTTCTAAAGACCAAACATTTCGAAACCCAATTGTTTCCATTACTAAAGTACTCTTTCTGATCCACGCGATGGGTGTGGAGGAGGTCCCTGTGGTCGCGTGGGGTTGCCCAGCGCCTCCCGCCTGGCCTGATGGCGGTTCCGCTGGCCTCATAAGATTGAGTGCGCTGCGGGCGGAGAATACTGAGGCCTCGCATCGTTGAGTCCGTTGCGTCACGGCAAAGAATAGCAAAGGCCTCAGCAGCGCGCTCAAATATACTTCCCGGTGGTGGTTTGGATTGCTTGCCTCTTTGTGCCTGGCGCGCGCACAAGGATTGCCCAGTGCCGAGCGCCTGCGTTCTGAATCGAACTGTGGATCTCGTGCGGGTTGCAGCGTCAAACTCGGATCAGAGGTTGGATTGCCATGAGCCTGCTGCTGCAGATCAGATGCTGCAGGGCCTTTTGCACATCAGCTCGTGCGAGCTGGCCCGTGGAAGGCGAATGCTGCGAAACAAGGCGGCTCCCAGGGAAACTCCAAGGAGGGCTGCAGCAAGAGGAGGTGCGCGTTCCAGACTCCAGAAGGCCCCCGGGCCGACTGCGAGAAGCCTGAGCGGGCATTGCGAATCGGAACGCTTCGCTGGATTTCGCTGACGCGGTTTGCTTTTCAACCGCCCCCTTTCCCTGTCACCCTCTCGCCGTCGCCGTCGCTGCCGTTGCCGCAGCCGCTCTCGCCTGCGCCCTCGCCCTCGCACTCGCGGTGGGGCTGGGGATGTGTGGATTAGTTTTATTGAAGCCGCCTCCACGTGCGTGAGTTCCCCAGGTCGTTGGGGCGGACGGCGGGACGCAGTCCTACTCCTCCTGCTTCTGCTGCGGGCGGGACCTGCGCGGCGTGCCTTGGTGCTGTGACCCGTCGCGATACTATGGCGTGGTGTGGCGTCGTCGAGTCGTGGCGTGCCTGTGTCGAAGCGCCCTGGTTTCGTGGTGCCGTAGTGTCTTGGTGACGTGTTGTCTCAGCGTCGTGGAGTCGTTGGGCCAAGGCACCGTCGTGTCGTGGTGTCGAGCCGTTGTGGTGTTTTCGTGCGGCGGTGTCGTGGTGTCGCGGTATGTTGGTGTCGTGCTGTCTTGTTTTTGCTGTGTCATTGTGCTATACGGACACCAACTAAGAGACGTGCCTGCCAACCGGTGCCCCACGAAGAGACCTTGGGCACCTTACGACGAAGGATATGCCCCTATAATTGATATGACAAGGTTTCTTATCGTATGTGCCTGCTGTATCGTATGTGCAATTTCCCCGCTGTGTCAGAGTCAAGATGTGCTCCATATGGCGTTAGCGTGGATTATAATCTCCATCGTGCCTTCTCACCGCCAGTGCGCTCGTGTTGTGCTGAGGTCACCATGCCATCAGAAGAAGCAGGTACTCCGCACATGCCATTGGTCTCCCCTGTAAGGCACGTGCAACTGATGCACACCCTTTCCAAACCTTTCCATCGCCTGCAAGCTAGCCTACTAACTCTGCACGGCGAAAGTTTCCTGTGGCATACGCGAGACGGAAGTCACCCAGGCCCAAATCGGGGAGATTCGGGATCCATTCGGGATGAATTGTGGTGCGCGTACGGAAACGGTGGCAAATTTAGGCCAGGAGCTGGGAGACGCCTTGATGTCTGTTGCCGAGAAGCAAACACCATGAGGCCATTTCGGGGCTGGACTCAAATTCTAGCGTGAAGCTATGCTCCGAGGCCCCAGGGACTCAAAATCATCCCGCCGCAGGGCGCAGCCCCAACGGTCGTTCTTCCGGGGATTCTAGGGGGAGGGGGGGGTGACATCATCGTCTTGGCGTGGCTTGGACGTGTGCTTTTCTTCCCGGCGAGGACCATCGATGAGCATCTTGGACGAGAGGAAGAGCACGCACGAAACCGACAAAGTACACCGGCAATGGACGTCCGAGCGATGGCAAGTTGTGGCCTCTCCAGTGCCCTGTGAAATATTAGAGGAACTTCTGTATCGCCGCTGCGCAGCTTTCGGATGTCTCCGCAGACGAACCGCGCACGCTCAAAGGCGGCCCGGGTGGGATGGAACTCGACCGAACTGGACCGACATGGGCTTGGCTGGGCTGAGCTCGCATTGGGCTAGCTTGACTTGGCCAGGCGGGGCTGGGCTGAACTGGAAGACTTCGCCCGCTGGCCTGGGTTCGGAGCCCGACGCCTGCCATCCGAGTCTGGTCGCAGAATGCCGCGACGATCCACCGTGCAATTGTTGGGCACCCCCCTCAAGCGAGGCGGGCGCGCCCAGAGGCGAAGTGGACGGGGCAGAGCTCGGCTGAACTGGGCTGAGAAGGACTTTGAGACGGCTTTGGCTGGGCTGAGCTGGGCTGGGAGTGACTGGACAAGGCGGGTTGAGCTTGGCCGACATTCAAGATTCCACCCCTGGGCCTTCTTTCAGTGGCCGACATCGACTGCCTGGGAAAGGTATTTAACAAAACAGCGAAGCCCCCCCCCCCACACGCCCCCCCCCACACACACATCAGCGCACAATGACCAAACAACAACAACACCAGCACCAGCAACAACAACAGCAACAACAACATCATCAACAGCAGCAACAGCAACAACAACACTACCAACAACAACAGCAACACCAACACCAATCACAATATCACCAACAGCAGCAACAACAACAACACCACACACAAGACCAACAACAGTACCAACAACTAGAACAACACCACCGCCAACAACAACAACACTGACAGCAACACACTTGACATGACATGGCACGACATGACATGAAATGGCATGGCATGACACACCATGACATGACATGACATGGCATGACATCGCATGACATCACATGACATGGCTGTACATGACATGACGTGACATGACATGCATGTTTCATGGAGACCCGGGTGACGATTGTCAATCAGTATCCTTCTGGCCGACGCCGTCCGCCTGAGAGACCAATTCAAATTTCTCCGCGACGAGAGCTTCCTCTGACCAGCGACACCCAGAAGTAATCCCAGGCTGAAGGCGGATATATTCTGGGAAGATGTTGGATACGTCTTGAATTCTTCCCATATCTGTAGGCCAGGATTCGGGAGACGCTCGGATATGTGCTCCACGCACAAGCGCAATTGGATAAGTTGAAGGCTCGATCCAACGTGTGCTACGTTAGCCAGCGAGGACCCCAACGAGTGGTTTTCTAGCAACACATGTCGTGCAATCTATGTGGTGCAATATATGAGGTGCGATTGGCCCCACTGCACCGCGCGTGACCACCTCCCACGCTCGTGCAAACATCCCACCCCCCCACCAGCTACTTGGCGGGCAAAGCTCATCAGGTTGCGACTGCAGTTACAGCGTGTAGCTCGCCCGCAAATTTCATCGAGCGCACTGGCACGCGGACCTTCATCGCGCGGCGAACTTGCGGGAGACAGTGTGGACAACGGCGTCGACGAACTACGATGAGGTGGTTGGCAGAACTCGAAAGGTCGCGACTCCAGTTGCAGCGTGGAGCTCGTCCGCATATTTCATCGAGTTCACTGGCGCGCGGATGCTCGTCGCGCGGCCAAAGTCCATCTTGCGGGAGACAGCGCGGACGACGGCTTCGACAAACGACGATGAGAATGATCAAGGCGACGCCGACGGCAATGATGGCGATGACGGTGCACCGCATGGTGCGAGTTGACTGGGACCATGCTTCTGGCAAGCGCGCGAGAGCGGTGGAATAAGTCCGACGTGCGCGCGCGCGAAGTCTTCCTTGGACAGGAATGTTGAAAAAAGTGTTGAGTTCCTAAGAGCCAGCAGAAGCGCGGGATGGAACTTTAATTTTTTGTTGAGCAGCGATTTTGTTTTGATGTTTTTTTTTTAATGTTGAAGTCGCAACGAAAATGAAGGTTTTTGAAGGATTTCGTCTTGCGCGCGCGCATGTCGCCCGCGTGGTATTATTTGATTGCGGTTCGTACCACAAGCTCATCTTATATCAACGCATGTGCGCCGCGCGGTATGATTTGACAGGGAAGAAGGAGGGGGGGCAATACCGGGACCAACAGGGATGTTATGAATTCGCATGGGACATGAACAAGGAGGCATAACCAAATGTAATTTACAATGCCCCAGACGGGGGGTTGTATTCCCGTTGTGGTGGTGGGGATGGAATCCCCTTTCTTTTTAGAGAGGGGAATCTGTGTTGTACAATCTACGTTGCGCCGCCCATTTGGTGCAAGAAATGTTGTGCAATCTATATTGTGCAACCCAGGTGGGGCAATTTATGTGGTGCAGTTGACCGCGCTGCGCCGCGAGTGACTACCTCCCACGCCCGTGCAAACATCCCATCCTCCCACCCGCACCTTGGTCGGCAAAACTCAAAAAGGTCGCGACTGCAGTTGCAGCGTTGAGCTCGTCCGCACATTTCATCGAGCTCACTGGCATGCGGACCCTCGTGGCGCGGGCAAAGTCCACCTTGCGGGAGACAGCGCGGACGACAGCTGCAACGTGGATTTCCTCCGATAATATCGTCGTGTTCATTCGCGCGCGGACGCTCGTCGCGCGGGCAAAGTCCATCATGTGGGAAACAGCGTTGACGACGGCGTCGACAAACGACGATGACAAAGATCACGGCGCTTCCGACGGCAATGATGACGATGCCGGTGCCCCGCAGTCTACTATTTGATAAGGGTCATGCCTCTGGCAAGTGCACGAGGGCATTGGAATAAGTTTGACATGCGCGCGCGAAGGCCTCCTTGGACAGGAAAGATGAAACACATTGGGTTTCTTAGAAATCCGCAGATGCGCGCGAGATGAAATGTTGAAAGCTTGTTAGTGGAAAGCGATTGGGTTTTGATGCTTTTGCGCTGACGTCGCCACGAAAAGAAAGGTTTTCGAAGGATCTCGTTTTGCGCGCGCATGTTGCCCGCGTGGATTTTTTTCAGATGGATTCGTGCGTTCAGTTCATCTTGAATCAACGCGTGTGCACTGCGTGGTATGATTTGACAGGGATGAGGGGGGGAGCCCGACACTGGGACCAGCCAGGATGGTTCGAATTCTTGTGGACATGAACAAGGTGACATAATCATATGTAGATTGGAATACGCCAGAAGGGAGTGGTAATCCTGGGGTGGTGGTGGGGATCGAATCTATTATTTGAACGGGAGGACAATCTACGAGGTGCAATTGACGCGGTGCAATCTTTGTGCTGCAAACTATGTGGTGCGATCTGTGCGGTGCAGCTCATCAGTGCTCAACTTGAAGTTGTCCAATCCACTGCTCGCGCAAACATCCCACCCGCCCGCCCGCAATTTGCAAGCCCCATGCGGAAACGATTGCGATGAGTGCTGGGTGTTTGCTGGTGCATCTTTGCGGCCGCGCTAGCCCGCGCATGCTCGCGAGCGCGGCGGCCAGCTAGTTTGACGCGACCGACGCGAACGCGGTGGCGCTGACCGTTCGGAACATCCCAGCGGGCACTTCAGCGCGAGTCGGCGACTTGGGCGGGCGCGGTATCATGGCAACGCCGGCAACGGTATACACGATGATGATAGTACCGATGCTGATGGCGATGCTGACAGCGACGACGGGGCAGATAATGAC